TACAACAGCATGGATGGACCTGGAGAGCATTATGCTTAAGCAAAATAAGTCAGTCAGTGAAAGATAAATATCACATTATCTCACTCATTTGTGTAATATAATGAACAATATAAACTGATGAACAAAAATAGATCCAGATGGCATCGATCAGACCATCAAACCTCAGAGTGAAGGTACGGGAGGGTGGGATGAGGGGGCGAGAGCCACCAATGGACTTGTATGCAGGCATATAAGCCTAACCAATGGACACAGACAACATGGGGGTGAGGACATGAGTGGAGGTGTGTGTGGGGGCAATGGGGAGTTAAGGACACATATGCAATACTTTAGTCAATATAGAAATTTAAAAAATAAATAAACACTCATGTTCTTGGTGACACTGATTCAAAAGCGACTAAGAATTCTAGTGTGTAAACAACTTTTGGGATAAGAAACACTCCAAAGCAGCAGTGGGGACTGTGTTCTTGGGGACAGAAGTAGACATGAGCATCAGAAACAGGAGATATGCAAACTACATCACCATAGGTCTTTAAAAATTAATAGGAAACAATTTTCTGTAGTTACTAATTGTTTTGTACTTCATTTTAATTATAAAAATAAATCTAATAGAAAAGAAAGTACATGTAAAATCACATAAATAGCCAACAGATTATGAAAAGATGCTCAACTTTACTATCAATCAAGGAAATTCAAATCAAAACTACAATGAGATACCTCACATAATAACCATCTGTTAAAATGGCAATTATCAACAAGGCAAGTAATAACATTTGTTGGAGAAGTTGTGGGCACACAATGCAGTATACAGATCACGTTTTATGGAAGAGTACACGTGAAGGCTATACAATCTTATTAATCACTGTCACCCCAATAAATTTAATTAAAAAATGAAAATGAAAAGGCGAAAAAAGCTAGAGCGTGTAGGACCTATTTTTGGTTTTTAGAGAACTTGAAGATATGATGATGCCTTTGGCACACTAGCACATTTAAGAAAATAAAAAAATAAATAAACACTCATGTTCTTGGTGACACTGATTCAAAAGCGACTAAGAATTCTAGTGTGTAAACAACTTTTGGGATAAGAAACACTCCAAAGCAGCAGTGGGGACTGTGTTCTTGGGGACAGAAGTAGACATGAGCATCAGAAACAGGAGATATGCAAACTACATCACCATAGGTCTTTAAAAATTAATAGGAAACAATTTTCTGTAGTTACTAATTGTTTTGTACTTCATTTTAATTATAAAAATAAATCTAATAGAAAAGAAAGTACATGTAAAATCACAATGGCAGAGAGATAGATATTGCTGATATTTTGAATATATACATTCATATATTTTCGTATCCATATGGATATTTATTAAGCATATTTAAAATATAGGAGCAATTTATAGAAGTAAAACATAAAGTTCTATATTTTAGATTTATAAACACAGGGAACTAAATACCACTTTAATGATTAACAAAAGCTTTAGCATAAAAATTCCTGTATATAGTTCTTAATTTATGAATGTTCTATTACATTTTAAAACAATCTATGTTTTTTTCATATTTTAGAAACTCTTTATTAAAATGGTTGCAAGGTAGTTATTTGAAGTTATGTATCTGACCTCTTGAGACACATACTTTTTCAGAATAATGTGAAAACAGATTATTTATTAAGATGTCACCAAAGAATTAATAGTGAAATATCAATTGTTGGGTAGTGAGAAAACTACCTTAGCTCCACATAAACATCTTCAGATTTATTCCATTATTCCTAGCCTGTAAGAATTCAGATATATTGGGTACTGCAATATAAAATAGCAAATTTCTTATACATGGGGCTAAATTTACTCCCTCATTTAAGCTTATGGAATCTGAAAGAAATTGACTGAGGGCTCAACATTTTTTGCACAAACCTTTGTGGGATATCTTAAATAAATTTATGATAAAATTACATACTTTACTGCTACCAATGTACATAAAGAGTCAAGAAAAACTAAATATTACAGAGCCATGTATTTTCCACAATGTTCTCAATGTGATAGACTCAGTAGAGTGAAAAGGGTAATGTAAACTTTGGTTATTTTAAACAAGTGTTTGAAAAATATTAAATAGCTAAAATTGTATTTAGCTAATTTCTACCTCGCCGTGAATATAAGAGGATGTAACAGAGGAACTTCACTGGAAAGGCTTATAAGAGCAGGAGATTTGAAGAAGGGTGGGTGGTATTACAACTTTGTGTATATTGCTTTTATTCTCAGTATTGCT